GGCCGGGCCGCGCGCCCGGGAGCCCAGACAAAGAGAGGGAGGAGCGGCCGCCGGGCCCGGCAGCCCTTGCAGAGACGTCGCCTGGCAACGGCCGCATTCCCGCTCGCATCCCGCATCCCGCCCCGGGCATGGATCCCGGCCGGGACGCGGCGTGCCGGGAGCAGAGCCCCGCACGCTGCAGGGTGCCGGGAGCAGGGACACCGGGAGCGCCGGGAGCGCCGGAGCAGGGCCGCGGGCTGCTGGCCGGGCCAGCCGTGCGAGCCAGGGAGCCCTGGCCTGGCCCCGCGAACGTGGGGAGCAGGAGGGAGACGGGAGCCGCGCGCCCGGGCTAACGAGCTAATGGGCCCTGCTCCCCCGCGTGTCTCCCGCAATTAGAGTCCCCTTGATGCCAGCGGCAGGGGCGGCCGAGGAGCGGGGCCGTCCGCGGCGGGTGCCGCAGCAATGCCCGCGCTGGCCGTGCGGCTGGAGGCTCCTGCCAGCAGCCGTGCCCATGGAGCGGGAAGGAGGCAGCCGGTGCCCGGCTGGGCGCGGGGCTGCGGTGTTGCCCCCGTGCTGAGCACCCTGTCACCGCCGTTGGGTGCAGCTCCCCGTGAGCGCTCGCTCGGCACCCAGGGCGCGGGGCTCCCCAGGGCGCCTCTCCGGACACGGGCAGCTCATGGGACTGCAGTCCGCGCCTGAGCCTTTCCCCCTCGCCTAATAGGATTCTTTCCTTAGGAGCTTTGCTGCAAACTGCCAGAGTAATCTTGAGGGCAGAAGGAGGACGGGGCGCTGGGAATGCCCTTCCACAGCTCAACCCTGCCCTGGGATGCCGGCGCCTTCCCTGCTCTTGGCGGGTGCTGCAGACCGTGCACCCCTGGGAGAGCAGGTCCTCCCTGCTGCCTCTGCCCTGGCCCGCCTGGCTCGGGGCTGCCCCCGGAGCACAGGACGGCCTGGGGTGGGCCAGGGACGGGCCTGGGGAAGGTCCTGGGGCCCTGTGTGAGCCCCGGCCCAGCGGAGCCGTCGTGCCCGGCAGCCCTGAGTGAGCGCCCGGCTCGCAGCTGGTGCCCGCGGCAGCCAGACCTAAATGCTGCAGCCAGACCAGCAGCTTAGGATTAGGCGGCGGCTGTTCTGCGCGGCGCGGGGCTGGCGCGGGCCCCGCGGGGCGCCCAGGCCGACGTGCCCTGCCTGGCGCAGCGCACGGCTGCCGAGGAGCGGGGCCGGGCGCGCAGGGATGGGGCCGCAGGGCACTGCGTGGGGCAGGGCGGCCGCGCTGCGCTCTCCGTGGGCCTTGCTGTGGGCACTGGTGGGCAGGACGGGGCTGTAGGGACCCTCAGCGGGGGCACTCGGCGCTAGGGGCCCTGTGCGGTGCAGGGCACGGCCACAGGGGCCCTGCCCGGTGCAAGGTGCGGCTGCGGCACCTGGCATGGGGCGCTGGGACATGCAGGGGGAGGCTGCCAGCACCCTCACAAACAGGCAGAGCCTGAAAGGTGCTGTGCTGGGGTGGTGGGTCCACCCCATACGCACCCCGGGGCACCCTGCCGTGGGGCGCAGGCCTGTGTGCCGCAGCAGGGGCACTGAGCTGGGCAAGCTGTGCGGCCGGGTGCCCATGGCGCCGCTGGGAGGGTACAGGCGGCCGCGGGCTTTGAGGTGCAGCGGGGAGGCAGGCGGCGACCGGGGCTGTGCGCTAGGAACGAGCCTGGGGCTCCGTGCCCTGCGGGGTGCAGCTCGGGGCTGCGGCTGGGCGGCTGTGAGGGCAGCGAGAGCAGCGGCGCTGGGGGCAGCAGCCAGGGCGCGGGCAGGGCGGGCAGCAGCGGCGCTGGGGGCAGCAGCCAGGGCGGGCAGCAGCGGCGCCGCGGGCCGCGCCGCGCGGGAAGGGAGGCAGGAAGGAAGGGAGGCAGGGAGGCAGGGAGGCCGCAGGTGGGCCGGGCCGGCCGCCAATGAGCGCGCGGCGCTGCCCTAGCAACAGCGGCGGCGCCAATGGGCGCGCGAGGCGCCCGCGCTGCCGCTGGGCCCGGGCCCGGCGAGGGCCGTGGCGCGAGGGGTCCCGAGCGCTGCCC